AGTCAGTGTCCAGCATCAGTCGTCTGTCTTTCTGGAGCCTCCGCACCATCCCCTCCTCATCAGAGATCCACTCTTAGTCTTCTTCTTGCTGTGTTTCCTCTCACATGTGGGTGACCTCACGCTGCTGACCTCCTCCTCTTGTTGCGCCTCCTTCCCCTCCATATTTTTTGCATTTTCTTGCTCAGTTCTGCTTCTCCTGCGATTCGCCCCCTCCGTCTCCTGCCTTTTGCCCTCCGCTTCCTGCTTCCCCTCTTCTCCTCCTGGAGCCAGGGTTACCTCGCTCTCGCCCTCCACCAAGCACTTAATGCTCATGGCGGGYGGGCTCACGTCAGGATCCATCGCYGTCACCATGTTGGATATGAGAGGAGGCATCGGCGCCTTCTTCTTCTTYGAGGAAGGCCTCGGGGGTTTGGGGCTGTTCTTGAGCTCCAGGTGTTTCTGGATGGCGCTGCTCAGCTCCTCGGGGTTCACGGCGGCGCCGTGGATGTCCCACGTCAAGCCCTCCTCGTCCCACTGCACCTGCTTCATGCTGCCCCTCCTGCTACGGTCTTCTCGCTCCTCCGCTTGCAGCTTCAGACACGACCTCCTCCTCTCCAAACTGCTTGGGGAGCCAGAGGCGACGTCCCACTCCGGGCCTCCCTTCTTCTTGTCCTCCTCTTCACCGCTGCTTACGGGGAACATGCTGGAAGAGGCCGAAACCAGGTTGGAGTGGGATCCCGTGGGAGACTTCAGGTTCAGTCTGGATCCAGGCGGAGAACCCAGGAGAGAATGCAACCCAGTGTTGGAGGTGGACATGTCCCTCTGGAGGTCACAGCTGGAGCCTAAAGGAGAGACTGTCTGCACGGCAGCGTCCACCATGTCCAGCTGAGAAGTCATTGTTGCTTCTTCTTTGTACATCTTAGAAGTCTTCAGAGCTCCTTTCAGGGGGGTCGTGTTGCACCTGGAGTRGTCCCCCAGTTGTGAATCGCTCAGGGAAGAAACCAGCGGTGATCTCCAGCCTTGCTCCAGTAAAAGGTTTCGATCTACCTGCCCTGGCAGCTCATGACAACCCGATGTTCTGATGTCCGGTTTTGCTTCGAAAGAGTTTGCCTCTGAGTTGTGGCTCATTTGCGATGCGGTACTCGCAGCTTTTCTTTCCAACCCCTGGTTGTCTCCAGGACTGGGCGGCTCTTTGATTATATTGTTGACGAGGTAYGCAGGGTCTGAACACCCCTCTGCATCCGCCAAGCTGAAACGTGACGGGACCGGGGAAGGGAACTGAAACAAAAGCTTCTCCGAGGAGCCGGTGGAACAGAGGGCAGGTTCGGGGAGCCGCTGTGCGCTCATGTTTAACGGGGAGGAAGAGGGCGAAGCCAAAAGATCCTCGGGTGGTGAAGTAGGGCTGTGAAAGGGGGAGATGAACGGCGAGGGTGTGGTCGGAGGAGACGTTATTTTGGACATGGGCGAGTCGGGAGCAGCGTCCTGGTTGAGACTCGCGGGCCGCGACGRGCCTTCCTTCCACACGACGGTGTCGGGCGTGCTGCTGCGGCTGTGCGTGCTGCTGCTGCAGCCGCTCCAGCGCTGCGTGTTGGAGAGCCAGCGCTCGCTGAGCGGCGGCGGGGGGCTCATCAGGTCCTCGTTCTGGGTGGTGGGCGAGAACTGGTGGCTGTTGTGGCGCCACTTGTCGTGGCGCAGCCGCTGGAGCGTGCCCCGGTTCTGGTCCGAGTGCGTGTTGGTGCTGGAGCTGCGCTTCAGGTTCAGCCTGGTCCAGGCGGGGTCCCGCTTGTGCGGCGAGCCCGCCGCCACGACGACGTCCACGGAGCTCTTGGAGAGGGAGAAAATGGGCGCCCGGTCGTCCTCGTCCTCCAAAACCCCAGCTTCACCAGTGGAGGTCAAGGCCTGACCCACTGAGCAGCAAACGGACTGGTAACTCTCAGAGGCCGGGCGACCAGACCTCGCCATGGCAGCAACCTGTCAGAAAGGACACATTTTTAATATTTAATCAACACCTTTTTGATTTCAATGTTAGTCACTTATAAGTGGCCACAGGTTAAACACTTACTACTTTTGGGGAGTTTTGCTTTGGAACAGAGCACAACAGAGAAGAACTCCACCTCAAAATTTCAGTAAAATTGGCATCAAATTGAAACTGTGAGAAAATACACAAGTTTTGTTTCGCCCAGTGAGATACTGGCTTAAAGGAGACATATCCTGCTTTTAATTCCTTCTTTTTCACATTTAAATCCTTCACTTGGTGTTTACATAAAGTGGATTCCTCCTTATTGTAACTCCACAAGCCCCTCTTTCAGCCCTTTTCAGAGGCGTGTCTCACATCAACTCGTTTTGAGGCTGTCTCTTTAAATCCAAATGAGGTGCTTCAGGCCCCGCCCCCCTCCAGCTTCTATTCTAGTTAAACCAATGGGTTCATGACTAYATAGAGGCGCAGAAACTTTTCTTTTCCAAATTAATTTAAAAAATGGGAAGACTTATCCATCCAGCCATAGATGTTGGAGCCAGAGTCTGTCCCAGAGCCAGAGGAGAATGAAGACCACCAAACTGTAGTTGGAAAGTCCAGATCTTATTTAGAGTTCCATCACAAATAATTTAAGTCCAGAAAACATCATAGAAAATGGAAAAAAAACTTAACAGGTTGAGAAATATGACCCAAACCAAATATAAAGACATCTGCACAGCACCGGGAGAGACTAAATTAATCTGTTCTGAACTCCTAGAGTCTCCAAATACACAACAAAATGTTTTTAATCACACCATACCATCTTTATTCAGATCACTTTAAACACCCACAGGACCAAAGTGCTGTACACATTATAAAACATGCATACATTCATGAAATCAGTGAAAAATAAAAGTAAAATAAAAACATAAAATCAACACCATAAATGGTGTTCAAAGGCCAGAGAGAAGAAATGAGTTTTAAGAAGAGATTTAAAAACAGACAGGGGCGACACCTGTCTGGTGTCCAAAGGAAGGTTGTTCCATAACTCAGGAGCTGATCAGCTGACCTGAAGGATCGAGAGGGCCAGCAGGGATGCAGCAGTTCGGACAAAAACAAAAAAAGGATAAAAAAGTGGATTTTTCACGATATGTCTTCTTTAACAGCCACGTGTCCCAACAGTCCCAATGGTGCCCATGAAAGGTGGTCGGTCATATCCATGGTTCATTTCTGCCCRTTAGCAAAACATCTCTTCAAATGTACATCTAYAACTTATCAATGAAAAATGAATTTCATACAATCCCATGAAAATAGAATAATTAAATTTTCTCGGCATAGATCCTAATTTAAAATTTGCCCTCGTGTTTTCTGTTGAGCGTTTGTCCCATTAGGAGAGACTCATTGTAATTATTGTCAATTATAGCAGAAACATGATCTGATTCTAATTAATTATTCACTTAGTTTCTTGTTTGTGATTTAGTTCTCCTCCAGCTCTTCAGCACTTGAATACTTTGCTACGTTCATTAGCTTGTTGCTAATTCTCTTTGTCTGCCAGGCTAAAGCTCTGTAAAGCCAATAGATGCTGCAGGATCAGCAGATAACTCTCTGCAGTCTCACGGCAGCGCGTGACGTCTCTGACTTTGTCTTTTTTTATTTGCTGCTGAAATAAATCCATCATAACTGTCTGAACTGTTTGAAAAACACATTTTTGGGGATTTAAATAAGAAGATGGAAACACACACCAGCGCCCACACATCCACTGGCGCGTCCAGATTAGTCAAACAAGATTACACAATCCAGATTATTTGATTATTGAGACAAATTGAAGATTAATGCAGATTTAAAAGAGCATTTGGCCATTTGTTGAAAGAGGACAAACAATTAGTTTAAAGAAAGTTAAGGATGGAAGTTTTGGTTTGTAATAACAGAACAATAGGAAAAAATTGTTTTTTTTTTAATCTTCAGTCAGCAGATGGTGTTCCTAATCTTTTAAAAGAAGGGTTTATTCATTTAAACTTAAATAKAAAAGACAAACTGAATTCTTTCTGGTTCATTTGCACAAAAATTGAAAAACTTATAATTAAAAACACAAGTGTTTAACTAATGTATGTCATAAGTGTCATTATTCTGTTTCCTGTCTTTAATTTGCCTAAATTGCCAAAATAAAAGCTCAGTTGCTTTAAATGGCGCTTCAGGCACACTCAYTGCCAGAAAACAATAGAAATTAACYTCTTACCTTAGAGTTCACACCTCCTGTCCTGTTTTGGCCTCTGGCCTGCCTCAGAGCAGGACGTAGCTCTAATTAGTGTCGCTCCTTCCTTCCTCTCCTTCCTCCACTCCTTCCTTCCTCCCTCCCTTCCCTAAAGGATCTTCTTGTTGCCGGTCRCACAAAAAAGCCTCGGTTTTATCCTCCGGTCCCCTTCCTTGACCTCTGATCCTCTTCTTTCCCTCAAACAGACCCCATGTGATGTTTGATGTTTGTTTCTTTCTGAATGTGGGTTTTGTGTCGTGTTGGTGCGCGACGAGGAGAGGGCCATTACTTTTTTACCTTCAGCCCCGAGGATTAGCAGTCATCTCATTAGCTACTGTCCAATCCGCTCTTTGTGTGGAAGCATGTGTGTGGAGGAGAGCAGCGGGTGGTTTATAATCAGTTTGATTCAAAGATCAGGCCAGCTGTCAGGACTCTTATAATCACTTGATTCTTCTTATGTTTGGAGGAATTTGATGTTTTTATTCATTATGGAGACGTTTGTTCTGCAAAGACTTGGCTTTGACACAGAAATACGCAGGTTTTCTGAGATTATTCATTTAATCATRTGAGCTTTATGGATGGATGGACAACTTATTACTGTAACATAATTTATTAAATCCATTTGTACTGTAATGTAATTGGAAATAATTTGACAGAAGTCATTTTAAAGTAATTGATTAGATTTAATTGGACATGAGGGCTCAAAAGAATGTCCCAACACAGACGAGCTACATCTAATGGCCAGAACTCTGCAGTTTTCACTCATTTACAG